TGAAAATTTTACAAATAGCAGCGGAACACTGTCTGATATCGTGCCAAAAGATGAGCCCCTCAGGTTGGAAGGCACAAAAAATACGACTAGGGAAGAGATGAGATGAGGAAACAGAGGCAGAGTCACACATTAAATAGTGGAATCGTGATTAAAATCCAAGCAGTCTGACTCCAGAGCCCAGCTGTCTAAGAACTCTGATACACTATACTCTAAAGCCTTCAAGGATTTCCCATACTTTTGTGGCTTCCATCACAGTGCTATCCCAGAAGTTACAGAAAAGTTGTATGTAATGGAGGTGCCTCCAGATTTTAAACACCTGAGTTTTAGAAGTTTGTCAGTGAGAATACCTAGCCTTATCAATATCTTACAGTATTATATTCATTACTCAGAGATCTGAGAGTACAAAATCCACCAAGCAGTTGTACAATTAGCCACTTTGCTTTGACTCTATGGATAGCAATTACAAATGCACATTCAGCAACTTGCATAAGATCACAGAACATTTAGTAGAAAATGCCTGACTCCCAAATCTTGTGATAAACAATAGAAATGTCTCAACATTTAGCTCACCAAACTAGTCTTACTGAGACATTGTCTTACCGAGACATAACTTACATTACCAGATTCGTCCTTCTGCAACTACTTAAATTATTTATTATATCTCAGTTAATCAAAGAAAGAAAACTTACAATTAGAATTTTTAGCTAGAAACTTCAGAAGGATTTTACTGGAAGCAAAAGAAGAAAGAAATAGAAAAGATCCAGATCCCAACAGTGAGACAAGTCAAGCTGATAACAAAGCTGAATCAACAAAATGTTTCAAGAGTCTCAGACAAAGTAACCCCAGGAGAACAGCATCTATATCCATCCTAACTATGATTCAATACCCAGAATTAATTAAAGAAGAAATTGATAAACTGAATAAAAGCATAAAAATAAAACACCAATAGCAAAGGCATCAATTCCAATATCAGTAGGCATCATAAATTGCTCTACCACTACTCTACTCAACCTGTCCTCCAGAAGGATGTCGATGGTTTCTGACTGTCAAACCAATAGTCTTTCTTCTCTCTCCTTTCTCCTTGACCTCTGGTGACTACCTCACCTTATGTGGGTTCTCTCCTCCTTTAGCATCCATGATCCTCCTCCCCGACCCCCAGTCCTAGGTGTCCTCCATTGCTCCTTCTGAGTATTATCCTCTAGCTCCACTTCTTTCCAAGCCCTAAAGTGGATGTTCACAAAGTTCAGGCCTAGACCTTCTGCTCATTTCTCTCTAATCTTTTTCCTTAAAGGTCCTAACCACCCCAATGCCTGTTGCTTTGACCTCTCTTCTGAACTGTAGTCCTACGACTAATCGCTGAAAAACAGTTTTACATCAAGCTCTAGTTTCATCTCCAATTTACATGTCTTAAACCAAATTCATCTTCTCCCCAAAACTTGACTTTACTATTCTTTTGTGTCCTCATGCCACACACACACACACACACACACACACACACACACACACACGACTGAGTTAGAACCCATCTTGTACTCCCTCAACACCATGTTCATGCCTCAAATGTAGCCCAAATTACCCTCTAGTATAATCCCTCTCCAACTGGATTGTAAACTCCTTGAGGGGCAGGAACTGTATTTTAGTCACCTGTGTATCTCCAGAAGGAGCCCTAGTGGCTCCGTGGTTAATGCAACTGATGGCTAACTGAAAGGCAGGCGTTTCAAAACCACAAGCGGCTCTGCAGGAGACAGATGTGGCAGTCTGCTTCCACAGAGCTTTACAGCCTTGGAAACCCTGTGGGGCCACTATGAGTCAGAACGGACTCAACGGCACTGGGTTTGGTTTTGGCTGTGGTTTGGTGTATCTCCAGGGCCTACCATATTGCAGGTGTTCAATAACCTGATGAAGGGATGAATAAACTAACAAATACTGATGATCTGTTCCAGGCAAACTGGTCCATTTAGAATCTCTACCTGCTACGAATTTTCACAGTCCCCACTTCCCAGAGCAGCCCTCTCTCTGCTGCTGCACATATGGAAAAATCCTGCCCATCCTTCCCACAACTCAGCTTAAATTTCACCTGCTTCACGAAACTCTGTCAGGTCTCCCCATTCCAACAGGACTTTTTCTCTTAAGTAATGCCATGGTAGTTCAGTGTCATGAAAACAGTGTCATCTCTGAAGCTATATTCAAAACCAGGCTCCAGCATAAACTAGTGTGCTACCCTGGCTAAGTTTCTAAAACTTTCTAAGCCTCAGTTTTTTCAGCTATAAAACCAGGTCAAGAATAACTATCTTACAGAACCTGCGAGAGGATTAAAAGAAAGTAAACCACCTGGAACATAGCAGATGTTCAGGGAATGTTAACTCCTCTTCCCTCAATCATTTACCATTTACATAGCACTTCAATTGATAGTATGTTATGTCTCCTCAATTAGATATAATAACTGTAAGATTCTTAAGGGCAGGGTCTGAATCTCATTCATATTTCTATCTTATAAACATCCACTAATGTGCTTTACATAAAGACACAATAAAAATTGAGAACAATGAAATTAGAATTAGAATAGATTTTGGCAATGAAGTGTAAATGGTGCCAAGACCAGAACTGGCAAACCATAAATTTTCATCCAATTTAGTTGTAGAATTACTACAACTGGAGACAGTGCAAATAAAGACCAATCAACTTCTAGAGTATACAAGTTAATAAGTAATCTTCGGTAATAACATTAAAGGTGACTTAAATGTTACATGGATACTAGAAGGCCCTCCGCATTTTTTATTTGTTCCCATGTACTTTTATGCAAAAGTTCCCTTTCTCATATACTTTAATATTACTGTAACAGAGATCTCTTCTTACCACTTGTTAACTAAGTAAAACCAGATTGAGATTTTTATATTTTTCCACTTGGTGCGGGGCGGGGTGGGGGGTGATAAAAGGCTCATGATAAAGCAAAACTGGTAAGATCAAGACCCCTACATTTGTGATAATCACAGGTAAAAGCTATCAAAAACCTCTTTTTTTTTTTTCTTCTTTCCAAAAAGCTTTCATTATTATCAAGCTTCAATATCCTCTCTGAACTTACTGAAATCTTTTTTTTCTATCCTGATTTATTACAGCGTCCCTTTGCTGTATGTTATCTTCATCAAGGATCAGTTCCCAGGGTTGTATTTTTTTTTTTTTTTTTTTTTCCAAACTACTGCCCCACTTGCCTGTGCGAACAAGTTGGAGGAGCAGCAATTTGCTGGGTAGCAACCTAACCCCGACAACCAACTCCTCGTTACGCACCCAACCACGTTCCCTTTCCCTGCAGAAACTGTTTCTGTAGTTCTCATAAACTGGAATATGCAGGTATATATTTAATTTGAAAAAGCAATTAATAATGGAAGTGTGTGCCAAATACGCTATCCTTTCAACATTTTCATGATTCCAAGTTTTTTTCGTTTTGTTTTGCTTTTTTCCCATATGGAGAAGTTTATGGCAAGAAACAGAGAAGCATTCAGTTCTTTCAGCCAAATCCACTGTTACACGGAGCAGAGATTATATGCCTACATGTTGGTATAGGAGGAAAGAGCCAAAAGCCAGGTTTCTGGTCCCAGTTCAACCACTTATTAGCTATCTTCAGGCAAAATCATAACCTCTTTCATCTTCAACCTCCTCTTCTACAAACTAGAGATAATAACGACCACCCCTACCCTCGGTGGATTGTTTCAGAGATTATAAAATCATAGTACCACAAAAGGTACTATATAACTATCAAAAGTGTGTGAATACAGATATAGATATATATAAATATATTTTGAATAATAGCAATATCACAGTCTCTAAGATAGAAAATTATTTTATATCATATATTCAAGTCCCAATTAAACACTTTAAAATTTAAAATTAAATGCTTAAAATAGACCATCTGTTTTACCAAATTCTGTACTCGGTATCTCCAAGGAAATATGTTTTCTATTGAGAAACAGAATCTGGCTTGGGAACATATATGCACAGTTTATGTAATAACTTTTGGAGCAAACAGCATTCCTGAGTCTGGATTTATACGTTTTCAGGCATATCTTTTATTGGCAATCATATCTAAATTTTCCCTTTTCAGTCAATCAGAACTTAGTATAAAGTACTGGAGGTTAGTTCTTCATATCTTATGCTAAGAATTTCTGCATTATGATTTTCACAAAAGTCTTTACCGTGATGAGTTTTAAAGTTCAAAAAACTCTAGGATCATTTTGTGACTGCAGATTTTTTTTAATGTTAAAATGAATGGCATCATTAAATCACAAGATTCCTCAATCATTTCTTCCTTCCAATTTCCTGGGCAAAACATCAATATAGTCTGATTCTTCAAATAAATTAAGATTCCCTAACATGTACACACAACATTTCCTAAATTGTGCTTTTAGGGCTTTAACTAACTTTTTATATGTGGCAGCTTTTGAACACTAATTAAATTGTTTCGAGTACGTTTTTATTTTCTTTTAGGCTGCTTACAGTTTTCTACAAGATCCTTATCATAGCATGATTTTGGCAGACTTAATGATATTTGCTGCTCCAATACATTAAAACTATTTAAAGCATGAATTTGAAAAATCTTAGTTTAGCTACAATTTTGTAGCTAAAATTCTTTTTTATCAAAATTTGCAAACATTCTGAGTGACCTGAATTAGTGCCGAGAAAAATGGATTTTACAGTTGCTCAATGTTCTTCAAAAGGTGAAAAGCATAATGAAAGATACGCTCATCTGAACTCCACCCATTTTCAGTTTCAACACAGCAAATCTCCTGTTTGTTCTTAGGGCAAATTCAAAACTGTACATATTGAGATTGGTTATTAATGAAAGTAATTTATGCAACCATAAGCCAAAGATGCTAAGCTGACAAAAAGAAAAACATACCAGTAAGCAAACCTTAATACACATGGGACACACCTTCTCAGTATATAAGGGCTTGTCACTGTCCTTGGATAGCAGCACTCCCTGAGCTAAACTCAACAGCATCACCATGTCTGTTCGCTACTGCTCAAGCAAGCAATACCCTTCCTCCTGTAGTGGAGGAGGCGGAGGATCATCCCTCAAAATTTTGGGCAGCAAAGGCTACATTGGTGGAGGATATACCTCAGGAGGGTACAGCAGCAACTCTTTTAGCCTGGGAAGCTCTAGCGGGGGCTGCTTTGGAGGTTCATTAGGTGGCTATGGAGGACTAGGAGGATATATTTGTGGAGCTGGCTTTGGTGGAGGCAGCTTTGGTGGGGGCTATGGAGGAGGAAGCTTTGGTGGAGTCTTTGGAGATGGCGGCCTTCTCTCTGGAAATGAAAAGATAACCATGCAGAATCTGAATGACCGCCTGGCTTCCTACTTGGACAAAGTCCGGGCTCTAGAAGAATCAAACTATGAGCTGGAAGGTAAAATTAAGGAGTGGTATGAAAAGTATGGCCCTTCAAGACCGCGAGAACTTTTTGACTACAGCAAATACTACTGCATCATCGAAGACCTTAAAAATCAGGTAAGGGACGTTTTTAAATCCAACTTTAAGCCTATTCACTGGTCATGTAATTCAGATAGAAGAATCTTGGATTAAGCAGAATGTGGCTGTTTACTGTGTTTTACTTATGTTACTTTCTTGCTTCCAAAAATAATCTAGTCTTATCGAAAAAGAATTATTTATGAGGGTATGGCCATGGCAATCTAACGTGTGTGTTGTTTGTCTTATAAAATGGTAGATTACTGAAAATGTTTTAGGTTTTAACAGGCGCATAATGAGTCCATAGTTAAAGTATGCTAGATAATTTACAAATGTAGGTACTGGAAGCATTATTAAATGAGTCAGAATGAAACAATATTCAGATTGATAAGTGCACCTACTGTACGCCAGTTTGGGCCATATTTACTGAAGTATTTATAACAAATCAAACCAAAGACAAGTGTCAGTCAGTTAAATGTTTGCCAAAATACATGGAAATAAAATAGTATCACAAAGGGAGACACAATGGTATCAAAAAGGGATGACATAGAAGTAGAAAGTACAAGAACTTGAAGAGAACAAATGACTCAAATTTGAGCATATGGGTCAGCCTGTAATATTTTATATTTAAAACTTTCTCAAATAATTTATAACAACATAAAAATGCAGTGCATCCTTGGCACTATAAAAGCCATTTCTGTATCTGATCTCTTTTTAAATAACTGTGCCTTTCCCTCCAGATCATCAGTCTAACAATTGAGGATGCCAATATTCTGATCCAGATTGACAATGCCAGGCTTGCAGCTGATGACTTCAGGCTGAAGTAAGCTGACTTAACATGGTACAATACTGTCACAACAAATACGTCAGTTGCTTTTCACATTGGCTTTGAATGCCCCACAACACCATTTACATTTTCCTGAATTCAGTGAAAGTTAAATATTATTATAGCTGAGAAATTTTCAATTTCAATACTACTTGTTTGGCGATATTAAAGGAAATGCATTTAAAGTAACTGCTAAGCTACTTTGCATTAAACCACTAACACTTCTACCTGAATTAGTATATGATAAATGTTGCCATGATATAAAATCAACTCTATATTAACTTTTAAACAGTCTCTGCCAAGATACACTTCCCTCCATAAGTTATACCTACTATTTGTATCATGCTTGTTTCAGGTATGAGAATGAGGTAACCCTTCGCCAGAGTGTGGAGGCCGACATCAATGGCCTGCGCAGAGTGCTGGACGAGCTGACCCTGGTCAAGGCTGACCTGGAGTTGCAGATCGAGAGCCTGACTGAGGAGCTGGCCTGCCTGAAGAAGAACCATGAGGAGGTGACGCCAAAGTTATACTTCCCCTAGCCAAAAAAGGGCTCATCGTGGTCACTGTGAAGTCACTAAATCTTTTCTGTCCCTTGAACAGGAATTGAGAAACCTTCGGAATGTATCCACTGGTGATGTGAAAGTGGAAATAAATGCTGCCCCAGGTGTGGATCTGACTGAACTTCTGAATAACATGAGAACCCAATACGAACAACTTGCCGAACACAACCGCAGAGACGCTGAAGCCTGGTTTAATGAAAAGGTAAAGTTAACCTTCGTTAACAGTGAGGCCCAAGGAGGTTCTGTTATCACTTTAGAAATTTCTCATCTTTCCTTGTTTATTTTTTCATCCTCTAGAGTAAGGAACTGGCTACAGAAATCGATACTAACATTGAACAAATATCCAGCTATAAATCTGAGATTACTGAATTGAGACGCACTGTCCAAAGTTTGGAGATAGAACTACAGTCCCAATTGGCCTTGGTATGTTAATAACTCTCTCTTGAAATGACTTCCGCTTTATTCTATAAACTTTCCTGCTAACAGAAGAATAGCAACAATAAGTTATACAACACAATAGAAAAATGCAGTTAGGATAAGAAAGTAGAAATCAAACTGGAGTCCTACGTTGGGGGTGAGGGGGCTTAGGAGTACTGTTGGCATTGACCTGAACGTGCTGAGACTGAAATGCTGTCATTGCATATAAAACACAAATTCTATTCATGTTCTTCATTCGCCCATATACTGTTAAATTAAGCTTCACGGTACTCAACTGAACGATGAGACCACCAAGTCACAATATGTTCTCTTCTCAGAAACAATCCCTGGAAGCCTCCTTGGCAGAAACAGAAGGCCGCTACTGCCTGCTGCTCTCACAGATTCAGAGCCAGATCAGCTCTCTGGAGGAACAACTACAGCAGATTAGAGCTGAAACCGAGTGCCAGAATGCTGAGTACCAACAACTCCTAGATATTAAGATCCGACTGGAGAATGAAATTCAAACCTACCGCTGCCTGCTAGAAGGAGAGGGAAGGTAAATTGAGGGGGGGAAAAAAAATCCCAAACTGTGCTTTTATCTAATATCCCAGATAGCAAGGTTTCTCCAAAATCACAGGGAGGATCGAAGTACAAAAAAAGGCGTCTGCAATCCCAGTCTTAACTTCTCATGACTTTGGGGATGTGTATATAAAACTGTTTATAAGGATGGATTTAATATACATACTTAGCAGGGTTGTTTTTTCTCAACACATGCTTTGCTTATTTTCTAAAGTAATGGTAATCGGTTCACAGTCGGCCAACGTTTAAATTAACTGATTGTGACCCCCTCCCTCGGCATTTCCAGCATCTGGCAAACTGGCGTGAAGCAGACTGTTACCGGCGGCTGCCAGAGTGTAACCATCAAGACTTCCTCCCCCGTCGTAACTGCTGTAGAGTGCGCAAAAGGACAAAAGCCCCCAGAAGGTAATCAGGATCAGTTGTAACTTTCTGTGATGATTCTATTGCTTTTTAAGCTCTAGAACTGTTTTAAAAATATAAAAATTTTACAGAGTTCTCACTTGCTTTTTTTTTTTTTAATTATACTCCTGACACCAACCTTGAAGGAAGAACAGCATGGTCTAAATGTTACGCCTTCAGCATTGTTTCAATTTTTTTTTTCCTTAAGCAGTGTAAAAAATTGCATTTTCTTTTTTAATTTAATGTAGTTTTTTAAAGTACTTAATTGTTAATTAGCAAAGACTATTATAAATTGTTCAGTCTAAACACCAATTTCTTTTTCATTATTCACTTACAGACACTATCAAGAGCAGAGTAATCAAGAAAAGTTATTGAAGAGGTGACACCTGATGGTAGAGTCCTTTCCTCTATGGTTGAATCAGAAACCAAGAAACACTACTATTAAGCCACATCAAGAGGAAAGAGTCTCTCTTCACACAGGCCATTATATATAAATGCATGGAAAACAAAATCTCCAAGAAAACACTTCAATCTTAATGGTGTGTGGAAACAGGTTCACTCCTTGAAAATAAGGTGTCTGAAAGGTGTTCTGTGGTTTCTGTATTTCTTCTTTTCACTTTACCAGAAAGTGTTCTTTAATTGGGGAAAAAAAAACAAAAAAAAAAAACCTTTCTATTCTCATTTACTAATGAATTTCAATAAACTTTCTTACTGATGCAAACTATCCAATTTGGTCAGAATTGTCTTTGTTTAAGTTAGATAATATTTTTGACATTAATATTAGGAAACTATAGCATTTGAAGGTTGATTCACCGAAACATTCTACAGCCTGAATTACTATAATTATGATTTCTGTGAAGTAAATTTTTAAATCTTATATGCACACATGGTCAGTAAGATCACTGAATAAGAAGTCTATGGGTCACCAATCTTACTCTTTCTTAAAAAGACACAATATGTGGAAAGCTCACAGTTCTCTGACTTCAAATTATTTGGTTCCTAGAAATTTTAAAACATTCAAACTAAGACCCTCAAAATAAAATTAATTGGAAATTGCACATTTTCTGATTACATGACTTCTCACATTTTCCTGCCCTCATTTTCTTCCCATTACTATATTTTTTCTGCTCAGTTGTTATGACCTTAAGAGATAACTCCTAATACTTACCAACTCAGTGAAATCATATCAACCCCATCTGAGTTATTTGGTGTCTATCAAGTAAACTTGAGAAGCACTGTGAGGACATGGTGATGCCAGTATAACCAAAGGAATACCTCTAAGTCCCTGCCTTACTCAACCCTGCCCAGTAGTTAGTACTAAAGACCTGATACAGGATCAGGCCAGTCACACATCCCTCAACCAGTAAGAACCCAGCCTGACATTACTTAGTACTTTGCTAGTATAGTGGGTAGGGTGGAGAGGGGCTAGAGTTAGTCTATGTCCCTAAGACTGTAGTTATGTTCCTTGGTGAGATCCTGGATCACCTATGTCCACAAAATAGCATCCTTCTTCGGTATCCTTGTTCGAGCTCCAGTTTTCCCCAGGACCAGATCCCTAATCCCCAGGCCATTTGTGTGGGACTCCCTCTGCTGGGTAGACCCTACCTTCTGTACCCTAAATTGATGATGAGTCATATTTAAGTGGGGATGCACTTTCCTATGGTCAAGAGTCCATAACCTACCTGACACCAAATATTGCCACAACCTAGAAACTCCAGCCACTATTTCCCCACTTCAGTTCATGTGCCTCCTTATCTGTGGATACTTGTATTAGCCATGCTTCTTGAATAGACAACTTCACCAAAGAAGATAAGCATATGAAAATATGCTCAACATCATTAGTCTTTAGGAAAATACAAAGCAAAACCGTAGTAAGATACTACCATACAACTATTAGAATGACATGTTAAAATAAAATAATTAAACTGACAATTGTATGTGTAGAGAAGATACAGAGCAACTGGAACTCATACACTGCTGATGGGAATGCAAATGTGTGGTTTCATAGTTTCCTATTAAGTTAAACATACACTTAACATACGACCCAGCAATCCCACTCTTAGGTATTTACCCAAGACAGATGAAAACATCTGTCCACACAAAAACCTGTACAGGAATGTTTAGAGCAGCTTTGTTCATTATCACCAAGCCTGGAAACAGCCCAAATGCCCATCAACTGGTGAATGGTACATCCATACAGTGAAATAACTTCTCAGCAATAAAAAGAAGAAAAATACACAACATGATTGAAATTCAAAAGCATTATGCTAAGTGAAAGATGCCAGATCCAAATGGCTACATAGCAAATCTCATTTATATGAAATTGTGGTAAGGTTCTAACTACAGGGATAGAAAACAGATCAGTATTGGGGTGAGGGGGTGCAGTTGGTGGGGAGAGAGTATGTTTACAAAGGGACATGAGAACTTTTTGGAATGATGGGAAATATTCTATATCTTGTTTCTGGTGGTAGTCATATAACTGAATTTGTTGTCAAAGTCAATAGAACAGTACATCAAAAAAGTAAAATTTTATTTTATGTACATTATACCTCAACATGGAGCCTTGGTTGTACAGTGGTTACAGGGCTCGGCTGCTAACCAAATGGTTGGGGTTTGAACCCACCAGCCGCTCCAAGGGAGAAAGAGGTGGCAGTCTGCTTCAGTAAAGATTTACAGCCTTGGGGCAGTTGTACCCTGTCCTATAGGGTTGCTATGAGTCGGAATCAACTCGGTGGCAATGGGTTTGGTTTTGGTTTTTTTTGTACCTCAACAAGTCTGACTTTAAGAAAGTGAAAATAAAAAACAGTGACTGGACATTTAGCTTTATATTTTTCTAGTGCATTGTTGTTGTTAGGTGCCATAGAGTCAGTTCTGACTCATAGCGACCCTATGTAGGACAGAATGAAACACTGCCCAGTCCTGCATCACCCTCACAATCATTGCTATGCCCATCATTGTAGCCACTGTGTCAGTCCATCTCACTGAAAGTCTTCCGCTTTTTCGCTGACCTTCTACCAAGCATGATGCCCTTCTCCAGGAACAGGTCCCTCCTGCTAACATGTACAAAGTACATGAGATGAAGTCTCACCATCCTCCCTTCTAAGGAGTATTCTGGTTGTACTTCTTCCAGGACAGATTTGCTCATTCTTCTGGCAGTCCATGGTATATTCAATATACTTTGCCAACACCATAATTCAAAGGCATCAATTCTTCAGCCTTCTTTATTCGTTATCCAGCTTTCGCATGCATACGAGGCAATTGAAAATACCATGGCTTGGGTCAGGAGCACCTTCATCCTCAAAGTGACATCTTTGCTTTTTAACTCTTTAAAGAGGTCTTCTGCAGCAGATTTGCCCAATGCAATATGTCGTTTGATTTCTTGACTGCTGTTTCCATGGGCATTGATTATGCATTAGATGTGGTATTTTCAGCTTCAAAAAATGAAGCTTGTACTCTGGGGATTGTAGAACATGAAAATCCCTTCATAACAAAGAATATAGACACATAAATAGTTTTCTTATAATGGATATTTTAATGAATACATTTCAGAAAACACATTCTTAATCTATAGAACCTGGAGATTAATTAAACTGAATCATAACCTGTCTATAGTCACAGAAATTTATACTTGTGTAGCTTCTTATTATAAAGAAAAGATGGAAATGTCATAACACACAATCTTGAAGATTTCTCCTCCTGGCTGTCCTGGAGTTTTGTTTTGGTAGTTGGTTTGTGAATGTTGATGAGTAATGTTTGGAGGACTGGGTTGTTTGTGGTGGGAAGAGATAAAGGGAATTGGTAGGTAGTTGCTATTTGATTGATGTCAAGCCAAAAGAAATATAAAGACTTCACAGTAATTTCTCCTCTCACTTAGGTGTATTCTTCTAAGCCTTCACTGTGACCTTGTGTTAAGATCTTTCTCCAGCTTGTCTCACTGGGAAAATAATGAAATCAAACTCTGACTACCACCCATCACTCATTCCTTTCCACCCACTTCTCCCCAACCCCATCCATCATCATTCTGCTTTTTTAATAACTGTAATTAATATAAATTAACTTAATGCTTAGCAAAGACCATGGCTCACAGTAGGCACTAAAATATTTATTGGTTGATCTTTCAATCAACAGTGTTAGGCACTGTGCCAGGCAATAGGGATAAAATAGAAAACGAAACAC